GCTCTTCCGATCTATTGCCAAGTATTTGATTAGACATAGAGAGTAGAGACAAAAATATTTTTTTAATAAATCGTTTAATTTATTCAAAATTATATACAGCAAAAGTTTAATGCCATTGTCTTTCCAAATAACTTTAAGTTTCGTAAAACAGACTTGAAGTTAAAAAATGATCAATAGAATCATAGTGAAGGAAACCCTTGGCCATTAAGTGAAATTTTTTCTTTTTTTAAAATGATTAGTATCTCGATAACTATTGCGAAGATCGCAAAATGTTAGAGGACTTGTTTGTTCAGTTTGGGCCACACTACCTGCCCACAAGCGCTGTACCATTGAGTACGAGACACCCTGTATATGGATAATTCGGCCTTCGTGGTAATGAATGCATTTCTATTTTTTCGTAATACGAATATAATATAATATTTTTTGGATTTAGTTGGATTCGATACAATGCAATTCCTAGTCACAATTTTTATTTGAATAATATTCATGATCCATTTTCATGGAAAAATATTTTTTGAATTGAATTAGATTGAAGAAACTACATTTCCTATCTAGAATTTTGATTTAACCAGTATTCACTATTTACTTTTTAAAGCTCAATTTGTTTGGATTGAATGGCAAAGAAAATGTACTTATTCAATTCCTATAAATGAATACAAAGGCATTAGATATATTAAAATGGCTTCACAGATTTTCAGAGATACGCATTCGCGAACGTTAAAATAATTTTTTTTCAATTTATTTCAATCCGTTCTCGTTTACTGGTTAATATAATATTTATAATAACACATGTGCATTATTAAAATCATAATATTATAAATTATAATCATGAAATGTTTCGTGTTTAGATAAAAACAACTGTAATATACTTCAAAATGTATTTGATCCTAATAATTCTGATGTTGGAAAATCTATCGGAGATGTCGACGTACGTTTAGGCAAAGTAAAAGTTGCCATTAATACACAGGAAAAGTATAAAACTTTCTATAGAGATTCAGAGTTGTCTTTATTACCGGCGGATCTACTTGTTCCACATCGTCACTTATACTTAGTCATCTTTCATCCTGTGCACGAGGATTCGTTTTTAGCCTGTGCCAAAATCAATCATCGTAAACCGATATATACCAAGTAAGAGCCACATAATTAGTATTAAATAGAATAATTAAGTTTATCTAAAAATTAAATATTAATTTTAAATGGCGCAAAATATTAAGGAGTTATATAGCAATGTAACAAATGTTGAAAAATAACGAAAAAAAGGTTTCGAAAAATAGTATTTAACAGAGTATAGATGTACTTGTAATTTTTATAACAAAATAAGGTTTCAGATTCGAATTTTAGCTAAAATAATATTTTTCGCAATAAGTTCTTTACAATATTTTAGCGTTTTAGAACGTTTGTAGCATCTTTATTGAGGATCGAATTGAATTAAATATAGAATATTATTTGAGCGTAAAGTTATGATCATTTCGTTTTAAAAATCCAAAAATAATCAGAGTGCAGTTCTGAAATTTAAATGATTAATTTAACTGAAATTTAAAAATTAAAAATATTATTTATATACATAGTATAAGCATCTAGCCACGGTAGTATTTGGCTTTTTCCCCTTATTTGTTTGTGTATACATATAGTGGCCTTATTGAAATTAATGTTAAAATAAGATTTCTTAAAACAGTATAATTTTTAAAAAATATACAGGGCCATAATTAATTCACGTGGTATCAGAGGTCAAATAACGGCAATTCAAGAAACGCCATTCAGTCCAACGTGGATCAATATCTCATTAACAACAATAAATGATTTGGAAACTAGATTACGGTACGCTACTAAAGTAGCGTCTTATAGGATCCACGAATTACCACCAGAACCAGCAAAAAGTGTCGGAATTACTATTGATCCATGCTTAACTACTAAAAAGTTGTTCAATCCTTTGAATATCGATGAAAAGACTACGCCACCAGCAGGTAATTGGGCCATAAGAAAAAAATTATTAAATAATATAAATACACGATTTTATATATTACATATAATTAATTACTTAATAAAAGACGACTTAATTAAAATTAACGATAAATTTAACATAATAAATATATAAATAATTTTTTAATTACTGCGTAATGGAATTATATAGGTTTCGGTACTCAAGATCAATATGCTATTGGTGATCTATCTGGAAAGCTTCAGAACCGAAAGGAAGGATCATATCACAATGACATTTTACCTGGGAGTGCTAAACTCAGTGGAATTTATTGGGACACATATTTACCGCTCTCTGGAATCCACAGTATTATTCACAGATCTTTAGTTCTTTACAAGTAATTAATTATGCAACATAAAATTACAAGATAAATTATTTTAGTTGTTTTTTTATTTTAAAAAATATTTTGTATAAATATTTTACATTATTTTAGAATATTAGAATTTTTTAAAAATTTTATATTTTAAATCCCTTTTTCTGGAATCTCTGATGTATACTGTATATATACATATATGTATATGTATGTGGTGTGTATGTGTGTGTATTTCTTTCTAAACAGAAATTAATGTTTTCAATTTTCGTTCATTAATTTTTTATAAAGCTTTGATGAGGCAATTTAAAAATAATAAACTATTTTGAAACATAAGAAATATTATAAATATATTATATTATGTAAATAAAATAAATTAAAATCAGGTATTCCAGAAAAAGGGATTTAAAATACAAAATTTTTTACAAATTCTAATATTCTAAAATTAATAGTAAAATATTTATACAAAATATTTTTTTAGAATAAAAAAAATAACTAAAATAATTGGAATAATATGTTAAAATGATTTATATTATATGAGTTCTTTCGTAATACGTTTAAATAATATTAAAAATAATTTCCTATTAGATACACTGAGACTGATAACACAGGCATGGCTCCATGGGTGTGCGGCACGTTCATGCTTTATACACCGCATACTGATTGGCAAATGCCGATGTACACAGCGGAAGTAGTATTCAGATATCCCATTGTTGGTCGAATACTTTTCCGACAGCCTAGAGATGATCCCGAGATGGATACTGTTGTAATAATAGAACATCTCGTTCACGCAGATGGCAATGCAATAAATAATACTGCGGAACACAGGTAAATTTCGCTTTAATTGTAAACTGTATATATAATTTTACGACCATAATAAAGTTATTTGAAAGGGTATAGCGGGTTAAGAAGGTGATTTCCGGCCCCGCGCGTAATCGATCGTCATAGTGAGCAAAATGTCCACCCAGATAAAAAAAAATTTTATGCCAAGTTTCATTTTAAAAGACTCACACAATTTCGAAATATCACAAGAAATGTGATTTTTTTTTATATTTTTCTTCTCCGCTAAATTTGAATTAATCTTTACAAAACAATTCACGATTACAAAGGCTATCCATATATATAAATTTGAATTTTGTTGTCGTTCTGTGCTGAAAATTCTGTTTAAAAAAAATCCAGAATATTTTAAATCGCATTTCTCTAGATCTAAAAAATTGGCCACTTTTAAAAAAAGTCAGTAGATAAGTCTTATAACATATTATTATATTCAATATTTTTTTCAGATTTTTTTTTATTTGGTGGAACGTGGCGAAAAAATATAAAAATCGGTTTTCTTGTTATTTTTCGACCTTAAATGTATCCGGTTGACATATATTAAATTGTTTCTAAATATAATTACTAACCTGCGATCTTACATCTGCAAACAATATTATAAAACTTTAATGTTATAGAGTTCGCGTAGTAACTGCGCGTTTAAACTGCCAGGTTTTAATTTTTTTCAGTCAGAAAATCAATTTAACTGATTGTAGCATTCCACTTTTTTTAAACAAAAATCAATTTCTAACTATATCGTGCACATAACAAACATGATAAGCAATAATTAGGATATAGACCACGTAAGTAATAAACACAATTCAAATGAGAACGCCTTAAACAATCGAGGTTGGATCTTTGCACCTAATAATATTTTTATATAAATCTTAATTCCATATTTCAGTCATTTTAAACTGCGCGCCGAATTAATTTTGTGTTTGTAACGTAATCATAAACCGAAGCCGGAATAGTGAGATCACAATTAAATCAATCTTCAATACGATGCGATTAGACATCTTGATTTGAATTTGGAAACTGGGACCTGATAAACACCATAAACTTATTTTACACTAATATGACAAGAGACTTAAGATTTTGCATATATTAAGCCATATAATATCTCGTATTTCAAATAACTCAAAATTATTCGAAATATCGAAAAATTTAGTTTATTATTATTTGTGTATTCAAATCCTGGCTGAGATAATATTCTTCGCAATAAGTTTTTCGCAGGTTTTTTAACATGCTTAATCGCATCGTATTGAAGATCGATTTAATTGTGATCTCACTATTCCGGCTTCAGTTTATGATT